TTTTTTTTTTCCTTTTTTTTTTTCTTTCTTTTCTTATGTCTGATGCCCGTTTTTCGTGTTCTGATTGCTTTTTTGGGCATCTGAGAAAGTTGACGGTAATAACGAACGAGCCTAGCTCAGTAAATATGAATAAGACCCAAGTTCTAATCCAGATACACAATGGGATGTCCAGAGTAACATAATTCTGAATTACAGTATGTGGTGCCGGTCAGCTTCAATGATGATATCTCAAGGCCGTCGCCCTTTAAAAGAAGGAATAAAAAGAACCCAAAAAAGAAAGGGAAAAAAAAAAAGAAAAAAAAGTAAAAAGAACCCCAAAAAAGAACCTGAAAAGAAAGAAAGAATAAAAAAAAGAAAAAAAAAGTTGTTGGTAGTAGGTTTTGCTGTGATTAAGGGCATACTCACACTAGGAGTGATTCGAGAGTTAAGAAAAATATGTTAAATATGTTTTTATGCCCTAAATTTTGTAAGGAAGTCACAAAAAAAGAGGTCAGGTAAATTAGCTCTGCAAAGCCATCTTCACGCCAGGACTTTTGCGCCCGTATGTGGACGCAATTACTGGCAGATACATCGGGAAAATCCCTGGTACAAATATATGTTTTTATGCCCTAAATTTTTAAGGAAGTCACAAAAAGAAAGGTCAGTCAACTTCACACTAGGACTTTTGGGCCTGTATGTGGACGAATTTACAGACAGATACGTTGGGAAAATCCTGGTCGAAGTATGTTATTATGCCCTAAATTTTGTCAGGAAGTTGACAAGGAATGCAATTGAGTGAGCAAGTGATTGAGCGAGTCACCGAGAGGGCACACTAGTAGGACTTTTGCGCCCGTATGGGGACGTAATTATAGACAGCAGTTTTGGGCCCATACGTGGACGTAATTATAGACAGCAAGTGATTGAGTGAGTCGCTGAGAGGGCACACTAGGACTTTCGCACCCGTATGTGGACATAATTACAGTGATACGTCAGGGGAAAATCCCTGGTACGAGTATGTTATGCCTTTTTTTTTTTTTTTTTTTTTTTTGAATTTCGAATTTGCCACAGCACATGCGTTTTCCATACTTGGCAGCCAGTAGTCGTTTCAATTTTCCATTTCTTTTCCTTCTCTGCATGATCTTTGCGTGACATTCGTGTGACATTGCAGTATGCGGAACTGCATGGGCACATACATGTTTTCCGTACATGCAGTATGCGGGACAACCGACTACCGGCTTTTCCCAAAGAGAACGTATGGTTATTATAGCTGTATGTACAGTCATTATAGCTGTGTGTACTTGGGGCAACTTACAGTCTAGATACAGCAATAATACGGCAATAATACAGCAATAATGACCGTACATTGTATTTGGGGGAACGAGGGACGCGTTTTTTGTCGGGAAACAATAAAATGAAAGTTATTATGAAACGCAGTAATGCGAGGGTGTTGTTCAGAAAAATAAATAGATAAATAAATAAAGGGGATACTATGCAGGAGTCACAAAAAAGAGTTATACTTGCACTATGGGCCAAGATACAGTTTCTGATTGCAGTTTGGGCAATGTATACAACCCAGCTTTCTGGCCAGGTGTAGGGTGCCGGCTGAAGTGCATTTTTTTAGTGCAATTATAGCAACTCGTTTCTGTGACTCTACTGAAGTTACCGTGAGGAATGAGCGCAGACGAGTGATAAGGGCCCCGCGCGGGGCCCTTATCAGACGTGCACATACTGAAGTTACCGTGAGGAATGAGCGCACACGAGTGATAAGGGCCCCGCACGGGGCCCTTGTCAGACGTGCACATGTTCTGGTCAGAGCCCCCCAGCAAAGCCAATTGCCCCCCCTAAGTGAAGGCGGGCGGGCCTGAATGTTCCTTTGAGGACAAAATTTGGCATTTTTCATATGTGGGTACTCAGGCTGTTGCAGCCCGACAGTTGGTTGAGTGGGCGCGTGAGCTTCCCTGAGCTGCGCCGACGAACAGTTTGGCCCAGGCCCGTGGCAGTTGCGCCTGGGCGCACATACACACAATTCAGGGCAACACAGGCCTACGCCAAAGCAGCATTGTCGACGTACATACCCCGGGTCCTGTGCAAATGCAGCAAACGGCCCAAGTCCAAAGACTCAGGCCGTGCCCAACTGTAAAGGGCCCAGGCCCTCAACTGTATCATTGGGCCTGGGCGCAGGTACTGTGAGCCCCCGACCGGAAGCTACAGGAAGCTTCGCAGCCAGGCCACACGCAGCCAAGCAGGGGAAATGCATCCAACATTCTAAAAGTATATAGTCTTGACCCCTGTCCAGATACATTGGAAATGCTTGGTCAGCCCAAATGTATCTTAGATTGAAATGCGGTCGCGTACGTTTTTTGGAATGTTGTCTGATGGAGCGGATCAATGAAATGATAGCAACTTACTATGCTGCAACCAAAAATTCCAAAATATTAACGAGGTGAGGAGATGATTTCTAGAGAAAAAAATGACGTCCAATTGAACGGAGGATAAGTTGAAAACGCAAGGAACCAAGCGATGAGCATCCTGTCTGTTTTTCCCTTGGAGAGAAAGACACACGAAGTACAGCAAGCATATACATGAGAGTAACGTCGAAAAACGATTACAAGCCAACATCACACCAAATGAGAATACAATTATACTGGAGTCTCTCGATACAAAAGCCCAACATCTCGCCTCCAAATATCAAAACAATAACAACAATATAGATGTTTTCTCTAGTGTAACTGCCTATGCTACTTCCTGTCTTTCTCTGCCTACTTACTACCTTGCACTCTCTCTCTCTCTCTCTCTCTCTCTCTCTCTCTCTCTCTCTCTCTCCCCCCCTCTTCTCTATAGTCTTTCCACTCTTCTGCTTCCCTAATGATGCTCTTCGGTCACCATCAGGGAAGTTTCGCTGCACAGCGCGGTTCCTCTGCCCATCGTCCTCCCAAGTGCCGACACACCCCATCTTCACCCTGAGAAGCTATGGCTGCCACGGGGAGAGCCGTGTGACTCTCGCCTTCGTCGTTAATGCCCTGGGCCTAGCCTGCACTATGTTTAGTGCACTCAGCCAGCGATTCTGAAGTGTCTAAGTGTCCCTCAGCAGCCGCGCCTTCGATGTCACGCGGTTGTGTCATCGCGCACTCTCGTGTGGGCTGCTTCTCGTGCTTGCGCACAGGTGGCTTCTGAAACACCTTCCTTAGGCCATGACAGGCCCTTGCTGGGCAGTTATGTTTATAGCTGGCCTTCACCGGAACAATTGGGTGGAGGCAGGCCCCCGCTGGGTGCCGCTGAGACTTGGAGCCTTGCAGAAAGTCCAGTTTGTTTCTTTTCTTCTATCTTTAATCGGATTAAGTAATAATAATCTTTAATAATTATGAATTAATAGTAATAATACTCTTCAGTGAAGTCGATTGAATGAAGAGGGTGACACTACTGGAGGAGGCGGCGACGAGAAACAGTGGTTTGGGAGAGAGGAAAAAAAAGAAACTGTGATGTTAAACAAATATAAATAGCTTTTGTGCTAGGCTATACCAGAATGGCCCGGGACCACTCGCCCGGCCGGGCCAAAAAAAAAGCAAAAAGAAATTATGTTTTTATTTTAAGTTTGGTAAAGAATTTCAATGTGGCCATGAGGGAAAAGTTGTTCAGTTTATTATTCTGCATAACATAGTTTTTTTCGTTTGTTTTTTTTTTTTTGCTGGGTTTTGCTGGGTTTTTGCTGGGACCTGTCCCCGTTCTTGCATGGCCGGGCCGCCCGGAAAACTAGGTGACCCGGGTGGCCCGGCTGGGTAGCTTAGGTCTTGGATTCATTTTATAGCATTGCTGGATTGATCTGATACTCAAGTTCATTACTTAATATTGGAACATATATTTGTCAATTGAATGGAACCCAAAAAAAGAGGATGTGTGTGTGTGTGTGTGTGTGTGTGTGTGTGTGTGTGAGAGAGAGAGAGAGGACTGAATTGGGTTGTGTGTTCGGCTCATATGATACAGTGAAGGAGGCCGAGAGTGGCGACTCGACAGCGCTGCCATCGACAGGAGCATCACCTTTTGGGGCTGTTCCTAACCCCTTCGACTTTTCGGCAATGTCTTCTCTGTTGAATGTATGTTGCTTTCCTTATTGCCATTCTTCGTCTCCTCTCTCCCCCTCCCTCTCTCAAAGTCTCCCTCTACTTCCCTCTATCAAATTCTCCCGCCCCCTTTCCCTCCCTCAAATTCATCCTTCCTCTTCCTCTCCCTCTCCCTTTCCCTCTCCCTCTCTCTCTCTCTCTGTAGACTGGGTCATTCCCTTTTGGACTGTTCCAAACCCCTTCAATTTCTCAGGAATGCTGTTCTCCTTTTTCAAATTCTCTCTCTCTCTCTCTTCCCCCGCCCCCCCTCCCCCCCCTTCCTCTCTCGATTTCTCCTCTCTCTCTCTCTCTCTCTCTCTCTCTCCCCCCCACCTAGGTGGCTGCTCCCAATCCATTCGACTTCTCGGTAGTATCGTCTTCTCTGTAGACACTATGTTGTTGTCCTTTTTGC